TCCGCAGGGTTTTCCGAAGCTGATCTGCTGGGGGTGGGGGGTGGGGGTGGAAAGAGCCCCAGGCCTTTCTCCTGGGCAGCCTCTGGGTGGATTCAACACCACCCACCTTTCAGTTAATAGATGAGTGTGATGGGCTTTGTGTCACCTTGGCGGGCCCAGGATTCTCCATGATCTGAAAGTTGCGCCTCCCCCCTCCTCCCCACTATCCCGTACAATGATCTAACATGATGTAATCAAATCCGTAATGGGATCTACTGTGAGCCAAGCAGTGACTCAGGCCCTGACCTGGTTCCGATTCATATGACCCGATGTAGAACAGGACAAGACACTGCCTGGTCTTGCGCCGCCCTCCGAATTGTTCTCAGGTTTGAGCCCACCGACGCCGCTCCTGGTAATACGTCCAAAGTAGGTGAGAGGAAGTCTGCCATCCTTTCCTCTGAGGACATTCCGACCGTACTTCTTCTGGATGGATCTTTGTTCTTTTGGCAGCCCGTGGTCCTTTGAATATTCTCCCCCAGCACCGTAATTCACATGCGTTGACTCTCCTTTGGGGTTGGGCATGAGTGTATGTCTAATCCAGGCAGCCCTGCTGGTGCTGTGGGCTGGGTGCTAGGTTCCTAAGGGCGAGATGCACGGTTCAAATGCACCAATTGCGCTGCGAGGAGAAAGATGAGGCTAACTGCCCCATGAAGGCTACAGCATCAAGACGTGAGGCTCAAAACTCACGACCACGGGACAGGGCAGCACTGCTGCCTGTGGGTTTCCAACACTGTACATCTTTACAGGAGTAGAACGTCGTTATTCTGTGAAGCGGCTGGTGGTTAGGCACTGCTGGCCTTGCCATTAGCAGCCAAAGCGTGCAGCCCACCACGCTGCCACGGCTCCCTTAGCGGACCCCAGAAACGCTCCAGAGGGTTGCTATGGATGGTGGTGACTTTTGGGGGACGGGGCTGCTTTTTTGTGTCTGTGGGGGCGGAGCCGTTACATCCCACCCCTCTGGCAGGGCAGTGTCTCTGTGTTGAGCTGCTAACCCCACGAGGTCGGCATGTCAGACCCCACCAGGTGCTCTTTGGGAGAAAGATGAGGCTC